TTGGAGGGCAGCAACTCGTTTCTGAACTGACCAAAGCTAGTCAGTAAGCTCCACAAAACAATAAGCTTTATTTCATCTGTAAAAATCAACGCTTGGAGAGTGATGGATACTGAAGATGAGTGAATGCTTTTTACCTTCCTCCATTTTAGCGTTAGCAATGAGCATCTGCCTTAAATGTTTGATGAGTCCAGGCCAACTGAATGTGCTGTAAGCGAGGGAGTTTTCAGGCATCTGAGGTATGTTACAAAGACCCAGCATCTTGAATTCGGGATGTGGAACTAACGCCTCCATTAAGTCTCCTGAAAGAAGAAATTAACAGCTGCTCATGTTTGACAAAAATATTGCATAGGCCAAAACAGGAGAAGAGAGTGAGGAATTTTATAAAGCTCTAGTAATTGAAGGTAAGAAACGAAGCAGGATATAGAAGGTTTTAACAAATATGGGGAGACACATCAGACAAAGTAACGCAAACTGGCTACATGCCGCTGAGTTCTACACAAGCTTTTCAGTAGCTCTTACTTTACAATTTAGACTCATTTGGCTCAAAACCTCAAAGACCCTATGCACTGCTAAGGAGATTGGCAGGCAGATGTGAAAGTTCAATTTTACAAGCGAAACTCTTGGCAGTAGGGGTAACTTTCTCTAATCCCGTAAAGATACAAGTGTCAGCCTGTTGCTCCTTGCTGTCAAGTTGTACTAGCCTGTCTTCTGCCTGAGCAAAACACAAAACTGTCATTTTGTTTCAGTTTGTACAAACTCCTAACATCATGGGAAGTGTAAACCAGCCCAAAATTACTGTCCTGAACAAACATCCTCTGAAATGTAAATAGGTACAAGGGTGTCTGTAATCACCCGAAAAAGGAGAAACAGGGTTGTTTTGGTAAGGAATGGAACCAGAAGCTTGAGATCTATTTTTGACCCTGCTACAAAATTGCAATTGAACTTCAAATTTAGTCTTTTGCTTCACTTAAAACTTGGGATGTATCCGAATACTTGAGTAAGGAAACTGGAAAACTTAAATTCACAACATGAGACGATTACAGAAAGGTGTGGGAGGATGCATCGGGCAGCTATACTACAGTTAGATACCTAATGGGTTTCTGCTATAGTGCAAGCCACTTTCTGCTGTGTAAGTGGGCTGGAAAACGCTCCCCAGCTGATGTGCAATGACTCGATTTACATCCCTGAAGGAGATCTGTTTGATATTCATCAATTGAGCACAGATCTTGTGGATGACATCATTTTCATGAACAAGAAGGGCATCTGATGACTGGTACAGATGTGACAGAGTCAAAACAGAGTTGTAGTTTTGAACAATGACCTGGAAACAAACAAACAAACAAAAAACCACACACAAATGAGACGCCAACAACTTAATCTCTGTAGTTTATAATCCCTTGGCTCCTGTCATTTCCTCAGTTACGATTCAGGGAGCGATTCATTTTCTTTGCCAAAGTGCAGGATGAGGTCAGGAGCTAGCAGAGCTTTTTCACGGAAAGAGAGCAAGACCTGTGAAAATCATGTTATCTGTCTCACTTCATACAAACATGCTAGAATAAAATCTGTCTGAGAATTGCTTATAATGCCAAGATACTGTCATAACAGGAGATTTCTAGTTAGCTAATAGAGCTTCTCATGAAACTGCATTGTACTTTAGCACTGATACTATCAAGAATATTTGGGGGGGGAACAACTATGTGTGCTAAATATTAGGCAAACAATTCATTAGCTGTGTTACTTTCTGTCATGTTGAACTTTTAAAAAAGTAAAATGTACCTCCTCTCTGTTTGAGTTGCAGATATTTTATGTTAAAAAGTAAACAGTGATTATAAACTTGCAGAGTATCTCTGGGAAATATGACATTCACCTCACCAGTGCCGTAGGGCCAGATAACATGGTTTAGTATAAATGAGGTTGGAAAAGCTTCTCTTAAACACTGGGTCACAAATGCTCCCAAGCCAGATCCTGTACCACCAGCCATGCTCATTATTGTGAAAAATCCACCGAGTCGATCGCATTTCTCTGCTTCTTTTTGCACCAGATTCATTATTACTTCTTTGTGTCTAGGCCCGTGAACAGAGTAACTGTTGAATAACAGACAAAACAGCGAGACGTGGCAGGTTATATCAAAGTAAAAGCAGTGAGGTGAAGCTATTCACAAAGCATGCTTTTCTTATTATGATTTAGATAACCTCACATTGTCATCCATTCTGTCTGCAGTAAACAATCCTCAGCTGTGACATTTATTTTGCAAAACAGCTGTTTATAAACTGTCTGTATTGTTTCCTGTTCTTAAATCAAATAGATTCACTCAATTCTAAAATGTTACATTTTCACTGTAAATACCAATTTCACCTTGCAAAAAGCAGTTCAGAAATTTCGCTGCTGTGTATATTGCTACTTTAACTTAAAAATAAATCAAGTCGATGTTACATACTCGCACAGCTGCAACAGTACCACTCCTAGAGAGTCTAGACAGCTCCTCAGCCTCCACAGTTCCCTTACAATTGTTCGTACCCGTTTGCCCAGTTGTTCCCAGACCCTTGCTTCTGACAGAAGTGCGACCGATCATCGTATTTCCAGTAGCCAGACCTGGCAGCCCTTGATAAGGTTTGGCTGATTACTTTCGGTTCCATGTCAACAAGCACAGCTCGGGCAACAGGTACTAAATAGGAAGAAAAACAAAACTAAGAACAATGTGCCAATAATGGAACTTGTTTACACAAGATGGACGGACTTGCACCATGGCCCAAATTGTGTCTCTCCCACCCGCATAAGCTGAACCATTAATGGGACAGGACAGGCGGGTACAGAAAGGACTTGGTAATGCCCTGGGTTTCTGGAGAACCATTTGTTGTTCCAAAGGCAAATCTGAACTCTAGAGACCTTAGGTTGTGCGGGAAAGAAACCACTTAACACATTTGATAACACCAAATCCAGATACTCTGGGTCCTGCTCCATGGTATGACCTATCTACAGTAGAAAATGCAGATGTTTGGAAGGAAAGATGACGTGTGCATATATGCCCCGTTTCCAGCTGTGTTACTGGAGACTTGCTCTGTGGCCTCAGACACTTTACTGCACTGATTTTGCTTCCGTGGTTGTCAGCAACGTTGTGAAGGCAGAGGGTCGTGACAATTCTTCAAGTCTGAAGGTAAAACTCGTTCTTCAGTTGGCGATAAGACTTTTATTACTTCTGCACTCTTTATTAGGCTGGAAACTAGATCCTCTGTGGGACTCAAACACTTAAATGCTGTACCTTCAGATTCCTCCTCGCAGAAAAAACGTTCTTTGCAAGTGTCACAGTAGGATTCATTCTCCTTCTTGGGACACAACCCGTGTGTGCCATGGGCATCGCTGCAGATCGCACTAAACACCTCCTGACCAATTTGATTACCGCACTGACCGAGCTGGACTGTAATGATTGACATTCTTATTCACTTTGTAATTAAGCCTAAAAAAGAAAAGTATGCCTTTAGTAACTGGGGAAAAGACAGGGGGAAAGAAAGTTCTGACAGGTAGATTTCTGATCACTTTTGCAATTTTTTGAGAACTTCTAGTGAGAAGGAAAAGGCTACGCTAGAACCACTGGCTGTTTCTGGGGGAAAGCAGACTGTCAGCACTTTCTCTTGAATGTCAGAGGAATGGAGATGGCGGTTGACAGGAAATCAATCTGTTTACTGTTGCTATGCGTCTGGAGGGAGCTGAAACCAACCATACAGCCAGCAAAGTCTTTGTTTTCTTACTTTTGCTTAGTAGGGCAGGATAGAAACAAATAATTATAACTCAAACAAAGTTATAGGATTAGGCTGTAAAAGCATAATAAGAAAGTACCATATGCCTTTAGAAATGTGAAGCCTGTTCAAAAATCCAGCTGATTTCCAGTCCTGTACTGCTGTGCGCCTGATGCCAAAATCTGCTGAGGTGACAAAGGGATTCCCTAGAGTATTCCCCTTGCTTCCACCACAAAGAGAAACGGTTTTGATTCAGTACTAGTATGTTTTGACTTTTTTTTTCTCCACTCAGCATTTTTGCAGTAGCTGTGCTTTCTGACTTTTCTATTCTCTTTTCACAGAAACAAGGTCACTTTTTTTTTTTTTTTTCCCCCAACTCGCTTCATTATTCTGGGCTGCTATTTTTCACTATCATCCCAGCTGTGCCGCAGCACTTCTGTAACAGCATTTTTTTGGCTAACCGCCAGCGCCTGTAACTCGATCCTGCTGCATTTCGCAGACAGGTATGTGCTATTTTTGATTCCTGGGCTCGATTTCAGCACCGCTGCCAGCCCGCACCTCCCCGCCTAAGGCCAGCCGGTGCCTTGCTGCAAGACCGAGCTACTCCTCACCGCAGGAAATAAATAAAAGATATGAATTATTTTCAAAAAAGGCTCATGTCCAACCCACGCGTGTGACACCGACCCTCCCGTGCGCTGTCTCTCGCGCCCTCCTCTCTGGAGCTGCAGTAGGGAGACCCACTCGGGCTCCGCCGTGCCCACAGGGCCCGGCCAACA